AATTGGTTGACAGAATGTCACATGTTTGGATTTAGTGATACTAGGGTTTGCTTTTCAAGTCTTAATAGAGCTATTGATTATCAGATCAATTTGATGCAGTGTTCAACTCTTTTTAAAAATACTTGTGGCATGTACTATTGTATATACATTTTGTAAGATGATGTATTTTCCTTTGTATCTTGTTGTCATTTAAGTTCCTACTTTGCTCTTTTGCATACTTCCTTTTCTACTTTTTAGTAACCAATTTCCTGAATTTCTGCAGTACTTTCTGTTTTTCATGGTCCTAAGTGCAGTTCTACCCAGGTTCATCCTTGGATTGCTTTTAAACCTAGTGAGATCACAAAGTACAGTCAGTGGCTCTTCTGGTTGGATTTTTGTTGTTGTTTGTTTTGGGGTTTGAACCCAGGGTCAATTTATCACTGAGCTGCATCCCCAGTTCTTATTTATTTTATTTTTTTCATTTTCAGACAATTCTAAGTTGCCTAGGCTGACCTCGAACTTTCCTCCTGCCTCAGCCTCCTGAGTGACTCGCATTACAGGTGTTTGACATCATACCTGGCCTTATTCTGTTTTCTTTAAAAACAAGCAGTATCTTATAAATAAAGCTTTAAGTTTATTGTTTTGCTTTGTTTGTACCTTACGGTCTTGTTGAGTTGCTTGTATCAGACTATGGCCTTCTGTGATGTCCTTTTAGTGTTCTCATTCCATATTTACAGAATTCTCCCTTATGGATACCTGAAACTACAGATAGTACCCAACTCTGCATACACTGTTTGTCTTTCTTTCTCCAGTTCTCTCATGAACTCTCTTCCTCTCTCCACACACACACAAATTTAATGCCATTTCTATCTTAACTAAGCGGTTAATATGCACTGTCTTAATGAAGCACCATAACTTTAGTAGTTTTAGGTGTGACAGGAAAATTAGTACAAATTCCTTTTCCTTCACAATTTCAAGGATGAAAGATTAGTTCTTACTCTAAATCTTGGCAACCTCAGCATTTTATTTTTTTCCCTTAAGTTGTGAACAGCTACCTTTTCTCTCACAGGAAACAGTGTATGTGACTTATCTTTGAGATGTCCAAATTACCACCATTACTACTGCTGATACACTTTTGAGACCATTAGTAAGTAAAATGAAGGCTATTTGAATACAAGTATTGGTTGATTGACAAGTACTGGTTGATCTGATAACTGAAACTGCTGGTAAGTGGTTGCTAAGTGACTTAACAGGCCAGGAGTGCATTCACTGTGAATAGGCTGTACAAGGAGGGATGATTCATTCATATCCAGGTGGAACAGTGAGAGATTTCATCATATTACTCAGAATGGTGCATAATTTAAACTTACATATTTTCTATTTCTAGAATCTTCCATTTAATCTTTTTTGGCTGAGACTGACTAAGGACAACTGGAACTGTGAAAGGACAAATTTTGTTGTGGGGATTGCTTTAAACCCTGCTCTGGCTCAGAGCATGCTTGCTCAAAAATAAGTGAAGCAGTAGGAATTTTTGAGACTTTTACCTTTGGATTTAAAGAAATCATGCTGTTCTTTTCTGTCTTTTTTGTCAAAGAATAGTATAAAACTTAGAGATATTTCACAGTTAACTGTCTTTTGGATAGTAGCAAGAAGGATTTTATTTCCTACCTAGTTTTTCCCTTTTTAGGGAAAAAGTTGCCATCAACTTCTGAGGGTAAGACTTTAACATTGGGTTGTCTGAGATTGGTTCCATTTGGTTTAGATTTTATTCTTTTCTCATCCCACAGTTTATGCTGTGGGTTTGGAAAATCAACAATGTTTATTCAGTTATATCTGTTGACTGTGTTAAGTCTGTTGGAACCTGGGTGCATATAAAAACTGATTCAAAATGTTTTCCACACCTAAAAATATATTCTAGAATGTGTTCCAGTTAAATCTTAAGATTGATCAAGTTATATACTTAGTATGCAGAAGAATATCTTGACTTTGAAGATGAACTAACTAATGAGTGTCATATCTATCTCTGCCAGTGTGTACTCAGTGTGATTTTGAAGCTATTTTTGGGATCTGATCTTGGAGGCCTTTTTAGTAGCTTTAAATAGAACTGCTATACTTTGTATAACCAGGGAGGGGGTAGTTTGGGATTCTTGGACCCTGATCACCCCTGTCCCCCACCTTTATAAACTAGAGGTAAAACAAAAGGAAGATGGAGGTGAGGAGACCCCAGAATTCAAGAAATCTTCCTATCCAGTTCTTTTTCCATTCTTGTACTCTACTGTTCTTTCTTAATGTTTGTACTTTTCCAGTCACATTTTGACTTTTCAAGGTATGAGGCTTCTTTATTGTCTTCTTGAACTTTTTAATGATCTGAAAATGTTTTACTTTGAACCTAAAGAACATTTTGCTGGAGGTAGTTCACATTTGAGTTCTCATTTGTCCTTGCATTGCCATCATCATAACAAAAACTAGTCTTGAATAAAAGTACCAAAGGCATTACTTTCAGTGGCTGTGGGTCTCTCACATTTGAGGGAGGGAAGATCTGTATCTACATCTGATAGCTATATCAGTATGTAACTATGCTGAAGGAAAAGTGTGTGTGTGTGTGTGTGTGTGTGTGTGTGTGTGTATCCTTTTGTAGGACAAAAGGATAAGGTGTACAACTTTCTTAAGTAAAGCATTTGTTGGTTTTCATACCTAAAAATTTGTTTGAGTATAACAGTTTAGTTTAACTACATCTGCCTTTTTAGAATGTTGAAAATGCATCAATAATATGTTATATACCATTGTCAGCTTGCATATTAAATAATGTTTTTCTGTTTAGATATAAGTAGAAGTTAGACTGTTTCTTCTCCACCTGAAATGGATCCTTTTGTTTTCCTCCCATGATGTACACATCCTGCTTTGAAAAAAACCTGCTTTATTTGAGATGCATTTCTTTTTTTCCCCATAGATTTATTGAGTAAAGATGCAACTCTGATAGTTTATTCTTCACTCATTTATTCAAAATTAAACAGATATTTATTGGACATCCATTGTGGTGACAGGTATCATTCTAGATGCAGAGGATATAGCAGTGAATAAATTCAAATTCCTCCTCTTATAGTGCTATTTTCTGAGCAAAATAAAAGGGAGATGTGATTTGTTTGTTGTGGTTGTGAAGTGGGGTGGGGACAAGGGAGTGTGTGGGTTAAGGTAGAATGGGGTCTGCAGTTTTAATTATGGTGGTTCACTGAGAAAACACGATTGATTGAAGATCTTTTGCATCTGAGGGGAAAAGCCATGTAGAAATTTGGGGGAAGAGAGCAAGTGCAAAGCCTTTGAGATGGAAGTGTGCCTAGTAGGTTAAAGAACTAAAAGGAAACTGACTTGATTGGAACAAAGGGGATGGGGAGGAGAATAGGTGAAAATAAGTTAGAGAAGTAGACAGAGTGAGGTAATCATATTAAACCTTTTGGGGGAAGTCCATGATAAGGGTTTTGGCTTTTAAAAAATCTGTAGAAAATAGAATCAGAGCTAGTAGGTAGCAACATGAGATCAGGGAGAAAATTAAAGGTTATTGCATTATGCCAGATAGAGCTGCTGGTTGCTTGGGTCAGGGGTATTGTAATGGAGTGGTGAGAACCATGGTAGATTTTGAAGTCCACCCTCCTTCATTCTTTCCTCTCCCAAACACCTTCTCTTTGGTGCTGGGGATTCAACCCAGGGCCTCAGACAAGTTCTATTACTGAGCTGTACCTACCCCAGCAGGAGTTTGAGGTTTTTCAGAACAGAAATTGCTGATCACATGAGATGTGTGGCATATAGAAAAGGGTATGACGGTCAATTGAATGAAATGGGATTGACTAATATGGGGAAGACTTTGGGGAGGAAAAATTTGGAGATAGGATGGGGGGAGATGTTCAGTTTTGGTCTAACTGTTGTGGGACTCATTGGTGAACTTAAGCAGGTTAGTGACTATAACCCAGTTGGAGAGAGTGGGTAAGAGGAGGGGGTAGAAATGGGAAATGAGCAATTAATGGTACATCACTTTGGAAGAGTAGGAAAGCAGTGGGGCAGTAACTGGTGTGGGGGAGATGGGAGGAGCAGTGGGTTATGGTCATTTACTCTTGGAGGAATAGTAGGGAGTTTGTGTGGTTTAGGACAAGAGCCAGTACAGAGAGGAGAGTTGATAATTCATTGCTGGAGTAGCATCCTTAAACAGGTGTGAAAACAAGATCTAATGCTTGAGAGGTTGGACTTAGTCAAGAGTGCATATATAACATTGGAGGAGAGGATGGAGTATTTGGGCAACGCAGATGCAGGTAGAGGTGCAAATGCTACCATGAGAACTCAGGGAAATTTTTGTTTTCTTTTGACATAGAAAGCAAGGCCTAAGTCAGAAGTGAGGGTGAGGTTGGAGAATTTTAGAGATTTGAAAAGAGAAGAATATTAGTGTTATTTAGGAGACCAGGAGACTGATGAAAAAATAGAACTAATAGTATGATTATAATGGGAATTATTAAAGGTTCCTTTGAGGTTTCTCAATTTTAGAGAGCAGTAAGCATGGAGATGTGTATTTCCCCTCTAGCATTTTTCGTGTGTGTGTGTGTGTGTTTTGTGTTGGGAATTGAACTCAGGGACACTCATCCCTAGTCCTATTTTGTATTTTATTTAGAGACAGGGTCTCACTGAGTTGCTTAGTGCTTCGCTAAGTTGCTGAAGCTGGCATTGAACTCATGATCCTCCTGTCTCAGCCTCCAGGTGTGTGCCACCGAGCCTGGCTCATTAACCTAATTTTATTATCCGCATATTTCTAGCTAAAATATATGATAAGCCATCAATATTCTCTTGCATTGCATTTTGTTGGTTGTAATGACTAAAGTGTTTTTTTCTTTGAAGTTTGCATTTTATAAACACCAAATAACCCATCAGGAGATTGGAGACATTCTGTTATGTCTAAATCCAAGAGATGAACTTTCTAACTTTAATTTTGTTGTTCAATGAATTGACGTTTGTTTCACAAATGTGTTTTTCTGTTGTAGGAAACCCAGCGTTTGCTGGCAGAACCAGTTCCTGGCATTAAAGCAGAACCAGATGAGAGCAACGCCCGTTATTTCCATGTGGTCATTGCTGGCCCCCAGGATTCCCCCTTTGAGGGAGGGACTTTTAAACTTGAACTATTCCTTCCAGAAGAATACCCAATGGCAGCACCTAAAGTACGTTTCATGACCAAAATTTATCATCCTAATGTAGACAAGTTGGGAAGAATATGTTTAGATATATTGAAAGGTAAGTAGTATGATTTCTTTCTTATGCATTCCATATTTAGAATGTAAACACTGTAACCTTGTAACTTGTAACCTAATAATAAGACCACAGTGGTCTGTGGGAGGGAGATGCAGCAGTTCTGGGCCTGTTTTTTTCATGCTATATCATATCATATCATATATATCATACTGAGCCTGTTGCCTTCATAGATAAGTGGTCCCCAGCACTGCAGATCCGCACAGTTCTGCTATCGATCCAGGCTTTGTTAAGTGCTCCTAATCCAGATGATCCATTAGCAAATGATGTAGCGGAGCAGTGGAAGACCAACGAAGCCCAAGCCATAGAAACAGGTATTTAATATTCATTCTCCTTTACACTGCTTCCACTTTTTAAAACAAATCTATGCTACCATTTAAAAAGCTTTTAAAAGTTCTTGGCAAGGGCAAGGGGAAAAGGTTGTATTAAATTAGATGCTGATTACAGTACACAAGTATGATGTTCAAGCTCCACTTCATGGCCTGTTATGGAACCCCAAAATTTTATGCATAGCATATAACTGGGAGATCTTGGAATCTGGATTTAACAACACTGAATTTAACCAATACTGAGTGTACATCATTCATCTAGTAATATGTAAACATACTGGAACAATTGAACTCTTTTATGCTGTTTTTCTAATCCTTTTGATTAAAGCATACAGCAATTTATAGCTAGAGAGTTTAGAATCAACAACCTTCTCCCTGTAAAATTTGAACAAAATTGTTGAGGAATGTTATTATCCAAAAATGAAGGGGACACAACTTTTTTCATCCTGATGAATTTTGTAAAACTTTATTTTCATTGTATTGTAATTAGACATACAGAAAATGTTTCAGCCTTGATTGTTTATAGGAGATGACATAAATCTAAGAGATCACAGCATGACATTTCCACAGCTGACTTAATCACATGTTTGTTCTTGTCTGCAGCTAGAGCATGGACTAGGCTATATGCCATGAATAATATTTAAATCGATCCGATCATCAAGTGTGCATCACTTCTCCTGTTCTGCCAAGATTTCTTCCTTTTTTGTTTGCATTTAATGGACACAGTCTTAATAGAAACATTACAGAATAAAAGCCCAGACATCTTCAGTCCTTTGGTGATTAAATGCACATTAGCAAATCTATGTCTTGTCCTGATTTACTGTTGTAAAGCATGAGCCGAGGCTAGAAGTATCATCTGGATTGTTGCGAAACGTTTAAAAGCAGTGGCTCTCTGCTTTTATTCATTTCCCCCATCATGGTTTAAGTATAAAGCACTGTGAATGAAGGTAGTTGTCAGGGTTAGCTGCCAGGGGTATGGGTGTGTTTATTTTTTATTTTATTTTTTTGAGGGGAAAGGTAGTTTTATTTTAATTTTATGGACTCCTTTCACTCCCCTTTATGGTGAGCTAATTGCATTGGTTAAAAGCAGCTAACCAGTTCTTTAGAATATGCTCTCTAGCCAAGTCTAACTTTATTTAGACTCTGTAGATGGACAAGCTTGATTGTTTGAATCAAAATGGGAACATTAAACAAACATCACAGCCCTCACTAATAACATTGTGACTTTGATGTCAGGTGTAGATTTCCCCCCTTCAAAAAAAGAAAAAAAAAAAAGAAAGAAAGAAAAAAACGTGTGACCATTTTGTATGGCTTGTCTGGAATTCTGTAAATCTTATGTTTTAGTAAAATATTTTTTGTTATTCGACTTTGCCTTTGTACAGTTTATTTTACTGTGTTTATTTCATTTTCCCAATGTGACAATCGTATTTAAAAATTAAAAAACTCTGATGAAACATTCTGTTTGGGTCTTCACCATCTGACAAATTGAATGGCAAGAGATTTTTGCCAGTTTCTTTTCACTGATGCAAACTTAATAATAATAATTACTGAATGGATTATTTATAAATTGGCCCTGAGCATGCATAAAGCATCAGTGTCTGACTTTTTTTTTTTTTAACCTCCTAGAAATTAAAAATAAATAAATGTTCGTTGTCTGATTTAGTTAGGCTATCATTGGTCTTGCCACAATGTTTGACAAATTACTGTACAGGGATAGTCACAGCAAAGAAAGCATTAGTGACTGACATGTAGGACTTTCGCATGTCGTGCCACATTTTTACCTCAGATGTGGAGTATGACCTTTTTCTTGGTTCCTATCTTTAAACTTCCTATGTGGCCACTGGTGTGTGTTATTAGGAAACACCAATCTGGTATTCATTTGGGGTTTGCTGAGGCATTTGAGTCTTCCTTATAGACCTAAGAGTGTATCTCAAGCAACCAGCTTGCATAAGTGTCATCAGAAAGGTTTCTTCCTTTGAGAGCATCAAATCTTCCGTTAATGTGCTTTCACCTCCCTCGTATTTGCTTTGGAGCTCCTTTTATTCTTTGTTATTAGTAAATTTTTCTTCACTGACAGTTTCTTCCCTCACAAAACTGTTCTTTTTCACCTCTCTCCACATCTAATGCCTGATTCTTATTTTCAAGTCATAAATGTAGCCAGTCATAAATATGTAAATGTTAACCTTCACTTTGGAATCTTTTGTCTCTTGCAGTTTAAGGTAATGGATATTGTAGCCCCATCTGAATTTTCCTCACTCTTATTCTCATAATTTCTGGAGTTTCTTCAGAATGTGGTGTATTTTATTGTGCTCCTATGTAAGATGAAGAATTATCTATTAAAATTACGTTTTCAACATACAAAAGCTTTCTATGACTGGTAACTGGTATCCTTCCAAATAAATGCATTGCTTGGTAATGAATGTTAAATTCAGAATAAAATTTTTTTCAGAATAAATTGATAACTCTAATATTAACAACAGTTGTCACTTTTAACAATTCTTGGGCTGAGGACTTCTTGGACCACAGCTAATGAAATAGTCTCATTCTAGAAAATGATTGAACTTAGTAAGACTTCCAAGTAATTAAAGACCAGCATAAGAACTATAGATAGCATTGTTCATGGTTTTAGCTAGTGTCAGTGATTTTCAAGTTATAAAATTCCAGATTTAAATTTTTTGCACTATAAAACCTGTCTAAAGTAAGATTAAGAGACCCCCCCCCACCCACCCCTGTTGTTTTGCTAGAACCTATCTTCTCAACCAGTGGGAGAAAGCAAGAGCCAGTGTATGACTAAGATTTCTTGGGACTTAGTGATCTGGGAGAGGCTTTAGGCAAAGGTTAAAAACTGGCAGCTATATATGGCCTATGGACCTGTTTCCCTTGGCCCACACCAAGTAGTTGGCCATTTTTTTAAACTCCAGAAATTCCCTTGAAAAATCCAGAATTTGTTATTTTTGAAGGATCTGAAGATCTGGCACTAGTGGAGCTGACCTACCTTTGTGCTTGACACCTGTTGAGAGGAATTGGGTAGCAGTCACTCCAAGGAAGAGCATGTCATTTGCAAGTTAGAATCCTTCCCAGCCCATCTGCTGTAACTGTGTAGTCCTGTTCTAAGTCTTTGACTTTGTAGCCCAAGCCAAACAGTTTGACAAAAATATTTAATATGTACCTGCTACAGGTTGAGGATGATTAGGTGGAGTGGCACAGGGATTTCCTTTTGAGGACCTCATGATCTAACAACGGAGGGGACACAGACAAGTAGATATAGTTCTGTCAAGAAGGGAAGTATTTGGAGAGTCCACTCTTCCGGATTCAAGGCAGAGGGAACAACATATGCAAAACTCTGGGAGAGAAGCAAAGGATCTGAACCTATCAATAAATGACTTTTTGAAAATCCACTCTGCCACTTTGGGTTTTTGTGAAATCCTGAGATGTCGACGTGGGCTTTGCTTCTTTTGATTTGTTTTAGTTTATGTTGCTGTGATTTGCTTCTACTCTGAGAGGAGCAGTTATCCTTGGTCTTTCTAGAGTCCACCTAGAAAGATCTTAGACCTGATGTATATAGAACTTCAAGCTTACCCAAAATCAGGAATATATTTGTAAAATAAATTTCAGAAGATGCATTTAAAGATTAAGTACAAATCAGTTTGTAAAAGCCACAGGTGGTGCTATGGTTTAGCACTTAAAAGAGTGGGGAAGAAAATCTGGTCTATGAGACATTATAAGCAGCTAAATAGCACTAAGTGGCATCATGGGGACAACAAACTGGCTTTATTTTTCTATTTGATGGTTAGGAATGTTTTCTGGTTACTCTAGCCATATCCATTTTTTGTTACTGCAAAGGTTTAGAATTACAACCTTATTTAGAAAAGCTATCCCCCAAATCCAGACGCAATGAAAAATAGGACACCTAATACATCAATCTATGTAAGAATAATGTAATATTTCATCAAATAATGTATTCTGGGGCTGGGAGTAACATTTCATTTACCATTTAGCATGCTGCCTATCTTAAGGAGTTTTATCAGGGTTTATATGACAACACAAAGCAAAAACATGTTGAATGTAATAATTTGAAGAAATATAATAAAATCTTTAATTCACCAATTGAAGTGGTCATACTTTGTCTGTTTCCTCAACTATATACTTAATTCCTGCATTATTTTCTGTTTTTATCATTGAGGCTAAGAATAAAGAATTGGCTTTGCTATATTTTTATGACACCAATTGGGCAAGTTCCCAGTGGCTGCAAAACTGGTATCTGAACAAAATTAACTTAGGTGTAGAACTAAACATGAAAAATTAGTCTCTTTTTCCTCCAACTCCGTCTTTGCCTCCTTGAGCTAATCTCATTTCGTATGTACATGTTGGGGCAACATTCACTGTGTGAATGTGGATGTAGATTTGATGTCAAGCAGAGCAAGCTGAACTTTTCTGATGGGAGTGCATAGTAACTACCCTAATATCTAGACCTGTTGACTCCTGACAGCATCAATTGAAATTTAAGTCAGTACAACTTTATGGTGCTCATAAGGAGCTGCAACATTTTCCCTCTGCCTATCATTTGTGTACAGTACAAAAACGTTTTAAAAATTTAGAATAGATGAATAACCTCCTGTGCCTATCATTTAGAGTAACTACATACTTGACATATTCTGACAGGAATACTTTTGAAATATGATCTAGATTAGTAAATCCAAGTAGTACGTACATTTTAGTATAACCTTGCAAGTTTGCAAGGTCTTCCAACCAAGTTCTGGAATAAGCTACTCAAGACAGCCTTGGCAAAAGCAAGATGGTCGCACCAACTTTTTTCTTTTCCTTTTGCAATTCTAGGGATTGAATCCAGGGCTGTCTCATGTTTCATGCACACTGTCACTGAGCTATTATAGCCTTAGCCCTGGTTACACCAGATTTGAACTTGATGCTGTTTTCCTTGAGTTTTGGAAAGGAAGAAGGGTTAGGATTGTGACTATCAAAGGAGAATAGGACCAATTTTTTGCAGTTCTTTTTTTTCCCACTAATAAAACATATAATATTTTGGGATCTGTGAGCCACAGTTCAGTCTCAATTCTGCCATTATATTGAGGAAGCGTCCATAGATAATTTGTAAACAGCTGGGAATGCTGGGCTCTTCATAAAACTTTTTCACAATGGATTTTTTTCAACCACTTAAAATGTTTTTAAAAACCACATATCTGAGTTTGTGAACTACAGAAACAGGTGGTAGGCTGGGTTTGACCAGTAGATTGTACCACCAGTAGTTCCACCAATTGAACTGGTCATACTTTGTCTCTTTCCTCAACTATACACTTATTCCTGCATTATTTTCTGTATCATTGAGGCTAAGAATAGTAGTCTAGGAATTGCCTTTGATGTGTTTCCACTTGCTGCAAAATTGAGATCTGAACTAAAATTAACTAAGATGTGGAACACCTGGAAGTGATTACTGCTTTTGTGCAAGGCCTTGGATTCAAGTCCCAGTATCAAAAATGTGTGTCACAAGCTGGGGTTGTGGCTCAGTGGTACAGTGCTTGCCTAGCATGTGGGGGGCACTGGGTTTGACTCTCAGCACCACATGTAAATAAATAAGGGCTCATAGACAACAAATTAAAAAAAAAATGTGTGTCACATTGACAATTTCTCAAAACATTTTTAAGAATCTAAACAGGTAGCTTTTATTGAAAATCTAAAATTCGTACAACTTTTTAAAAAGTGATCTTTAATTTTGTTAGACTTTTCCGATATAAACAAATATGTGCACAAAACATGCTGACTTCTTTTCGGTTAGCACTTTCCTAAGAACTTGACATGTGGCTGGACCTCTTTATGGGAGGGAACTGCATAGTATCTATTAAATAGACTGCCATAATTTAATTCCATTTTTAATACCAATTTCATAAATTCTGCAATACATCTATGACCATAAATTTAGGTACAGAGGAAGGAATCGGGTGCTTAACCACTGAGCCACATCCCCAGCCCTTTTGTTATATTTAGACCCTTGCTAAGTTTAAGTTGCTTAGGGCCTGCCTAACTATTTGCTGAAATTAGCTTTGAATTCACCATTCTCCTGCCTCAGCTTTCTGAGCCACTGGGATTATAGGTGTGCACCATGGTCCCTGGCTGGGACCATTATTTTGGAACATGGATCAGATTTACATTCTCATGAACAAAAGATGGCAGAATTCTCATGACACAGACTAGGTTATAAGAGTGTCTTGGGGTGGGGGGGCTGAGGTTGTATGTATTGTATGTAGCACATGCCTCTCACGAATCAGGCACTGAGTTCTACTAATAGGTTAACCATTACTCCTTTGTTCTTGCTCCCCTTCCCCCACCCACCCCCACCCACCCCCACCAAAAAAAGGGAACCTTTTGAGTATTTGCTCTGTAATGATTTTGCTAAGATACGTCTTTGGGAAACATCTTGCTGGAATTTAGCTAATGGCATCAGTCAGGATGGTATTACATAGAAGGGAGGGGATGGGGTTGTAGCTCAGTAGCAGAGCACTTGCTTTGCATGACATTTCATAAACATCTATTGCTTTTTATGCTATATTGAGCTGGGCATGATGGCTCACACCTTATAATCCCAGTGTCTCGGAGGCTAAGGCAGGAGGATGGTGAATTCAAAGCCAGCCTCAACAACTCAATGAGGCCCTATCTCTAAAATAAATGGGCTAGAGATGTGACTGGTTAAGAACCCCGGGGTTCAGTCCCCAGTATCAAAAATAAAAACCTATATTGAAGTGTACGTAAAAAGCTATAAAGCCTCAAAAGATTTTAGAAACCTATATAAGCTACGTCACTTTCTTTATGCCACCATAATGTAAATCTCTGTATGAGCAGATTCTGAGTATGTGAGGCTATTGGTAAATATTGAAGAAAAATACATGAAACAGTTGAAACCACCTCAGTCAACTACAGTAATTACCTACAACTAATTCTTAAAATCATACTTTAATAAATTAGTGATTACCTAGATAGCACTGCAGAGCTTCTCTTTTCTTTAAGCTGAATCCTTAAGTAAAATATCCCTACCTAAATGATATAAGTTTCTTCTAGGTAGTCACATTAAGGCAAAAACATGTACTTTACCCATTTCAAAATTTTAAAAAAGTACCTACCTGACCCTAAAACTTCAGAAAGCTCATATAAACAAAACAAAACCACAAAGGATTGTTTCCATTTTTATTTGATGTTTCCAAATATAAAAAAGTCAAGATTCTTACACCAATTATCTCAAATAAGACCATGCAGAGCAATTCAGTGTTTACAGCAGTTACTTCCCCCTCCAGTTTTTGCTGCTCTTTATACAATAGTGTGATAGACAGGAAATTGGATAGCATGTGCTTGGATGGAAAAATGTCATCTTTACAAAACAACATGCAGGGCAGATTCTACTTTGTCTACAAATCAAATTTACAGTAACTGCTTTTTCATGAGGAACAAGGAACGGAAAAATTAAGTG